ACGGAGACCTCGCCCACACTGCTGTGGACGGGGAAGGTTGGCGATGCGTCGCGTTTCCGGGTCTGGGGTGCTCGTGCCTTTGTCCGCGATACCACCGCGGACAAGCTCTCCGCCCGCGCTGTTCCCTTTGTCTTCCTTGGCTTTGTCCCTGACGCGTCTGGTTGGCAGTTTTACCACCCCACCTCGCGCCGTGTCTTCCCCTCTCAGGACGTCACGTTCGACGAGTCGGTTCCCTTTTACCGTCTCTTCCCCTACCGCCCCTCCCCCCCCCCGCCACTCTTCCTCGCTCTAGGTGCTCCCCAGGTAGACCCCCTCCCCGCTCCCGGTCCTGCTCCTTCAGGTGTGTCTCAGGTAGACCCTCCCCTCTTGACTGCGCCGGTTGAGGTCACTGGTGACTCAGCTCCTGCTGAGGGTGGTCCTGCTCGGGATGCTGCTCCTGGAGGTGCGGAGCCTGGGGGTGCGGAGACTGGAGGTGCTGAGCCTGGGTGTGAGGAGTCTGGGGGTGCTGTGCCTGGGAGTACTGGGTCTGGGGGTGCTGCACCTGGATGCGCTGAGGCGTCTGGTGAGCAGTCTCCCTGGAGCGGCCGTCTGCGTAGTTGCTTCGCTGGTGCCTCGCCGCTGCGCTCTCGTCGTCAACTCCCTCTCTCCCCACAGCAGCTGCGTGAGTGGTACGCTGGCCGTCTGGGTCGCTGCTGGAGCTAGGGGCCCTGCTGCGGGAGGCGCTGGTGCTGGTGACTCTGCTACTGGAGTTGTTTCTGCTGGAGGTTCTGGAGCCGCTGAGGGTGCTGGAACTGGAGGTTCTGGAGCTGCTGGAGGTGCTGGCGCTGGTGGCGGTGGAGCTGGAGGTGCTGGCGCTGGTGGCGCTGGAGCTGGAGGTTCTGGAGCTGCTGAGGGTTATGGCGCTGGAGGTTCTGGAGCTGCTGCGGGTGCTGGCGCTGGAGGTTCAGGAGCTGCTGCGGGTGCTGGCGCTGAGGGTTCTGAGTCTGCTGTTACGCGGTCTCCTTGGAGTGGCCACCTTCGTCCGCGTGTGCCACTCACCTCACAGCAGCTGCACGACTGATACGGTCGCCGTCAGGGTCGCGCTTCTGGAGCTCGAGGCTCTGCCGCTGGAGGTACTTCTACTGACGTCACTGGAGCTGGGAGTGGTGCTGGGCCCGGAGGTGCTCGTACTGGAGGTACTGGAGCTGCTAGGGCTGGAGGTGCTGAGCCTGAGGGTGCTGCTGCTGGAGACACGGAGGCTGGAGACCCTGGGACTGGAGGTGCCGGTTCTGGGGGTGCTGCTGTTGGTGGAGCTGGTCCTGGAGGAGCTGGCGCTGAGGGTTCTGGAGCTGCTGGAGGTGCTGGAGCTGCTGGGGTTACTGGAGCTGCTGGTGCTGGTGTCACTGCACAGCCGCGCCTGTTCTTCGCTCCGCCGTCTCTGTCGTCTCAGCCACCGCCTGACTCTGTGCTTCGCCAGGTTCTTAGTCTCCCTTCGTCTACTGGTCTTTCGTTATAGCCTGGCTCACCCCTGCCTGCTCCTTCTCCTTACACTGAGCAGAGAGGGGGTCTTATTGAGCGTCGTGAGCCTGCGTCGCGTCCTGTCTCGCCTGTCCGTTCTGGTAGTTCCAGTCGTCGTGTTCCTCGTCCGCGTCAGCCGGCTGTCCCCGACACCCACCTCGTAGTCCGTCGTCCTTCCTCTCCTCCGCACCATGTTCCTCTGCCGTCTCCTCCTGCGTCTTCTCTTCCTGTCGTTGCGGACCCTGAGTCTGACCGGTTTTGTGCTGAGCACCCTACTGTCACGCGTCTGCTAGCCACAGTTGTCACTGACCCGTCGTTTGAGTCTGCTGCTGCGTCTGCCTTAGTCGCTGAGCTTGTTGACTTTGCTGCTGCCTGTCGTCTAGACTACGCTGCTAGTCTTGTTGCTGAGTCTGAGTCTGTCTGTCCTCCGTCCGTCGGGGGTGAGTGTGCTCTTGGCACGGACGTCCTTGAGGACATACAGGAGGACCTTGAGTGTCTTGCAACCGATGCGCCTCATCTCGTGTCCATGCTGCTTGCCCCTGAGGGAGACCCGGATGCTCCAGACATCCCGACCCCGCGCTCTTACGCTGAGGCGATCGCGGGTGAGTACTCCTCTCAGTGGCAGACAGCCATGGACGCAGAGATGGCATCCTGGAAGTCCTTAGGCACTTACGTCGACGAGGTTCCCCCTCCTGGGGCGAACATCGTCAGTGGCATGTGGATTTTCGGGGTGAAGCGGCCGCCAGGTTCTCCACCTGTCTTCAAGGCTCGTTACATTGCTCGATGCTTCAGTCAGCAACAGGGAGTTGACTTCTTCCAGACCTTCTCCCCCACCCCGAAGATGACCACTCTTCGGGTACTGCTGCACGTTGCCGCTCAGCGTGACTACGAGCTTCACTCTCTTGACTTCAGCACAGCGTTCTTACAGGGCAGCCTGCACGAGGAGATCTGGATGCGCCGCCCTCCTGGCTTCACTGGATCGTTCCCTCCTGGTACCCAGTGGAGCCTCCGGCGGCCAGTCTACGGTCTCCGCCAGGCGCCACGTGAGTGGTACGACACACTGAGGATGACCCTTGCTGCTCTTGGGTTTGCTCCGTCGACTGCTGACCCGTCGCTGCTTCTGCGCACCGACAGTTCGCTGCCGCCGTTCTACATCCTCGTGTACGTCGACGACTTGGTCTTTGCCACTGCTGACACTGAGGCTCTCGCCCTGGTGAAGTCGGAGCTGCAGAAGAGACACACGTGCACACACCCGGGTGAGCTGCGCAGTTACCTTGGCTTGCAGATCACCCGGGACAGAGCACGCCGCACCATCACACTGACTCAGTCACACATGGTGCAGCAGGTCCTTCAGCGCTTCGGCTGCACCTGGTCCTCGCCACAGCACACTCCTCTGGCTACAGGTCACTCGCTCTTAGCTCCACCTTCGGACGAGTCCGTAGAGCCGAGTGGTCCTTACCCAGAGCTAGTGGGCTGCCTCATGTACCTGATGACCTGCACTCGTCCTGACCTTGCGTACCCTCTTGGCCTTCTGGCTCGCTACGTGGCACCGAAAGGTGCACATGGATGCTGCTAAGAGGGTACTATGCTACTTGTGCAGTACATCGGGCATGGGGCTCGTGCTTGGAGGGCGGAGCCCAGTTGTCCTCACTGGGCACTCAGACGCTTCTTGGGTTGACGACCAGGCTACGCAGCGGTCGTCACAGGGTTACACCTTCAGCCTTGGCTCTGGCTCTGTTTCTTGGCGTTCTACACGCTCGTCTTCAGTTCTCAGCTCCAGTTGTGAGGTTGAGATCTACGCCACAGCCATGGCTGCACAGGAGTTACGCTGGCTCACCTACCTGCTGACCGACCTGGGAGAGCGGCCTCGTTCTCCTCCAGTGCTGTACGTCGACAACAAGGCCGCCATTGCCTTGTGTCAGGAGCACAGACTGGAGCACAGAACGAAGCACATCGCTCTGCGTTACTTCCTGGCTCGAGAGTTGCAGCAGCGTGGTCAGCTTCGCCTTGCTCACGTGGCCACTCGGGCCAACACTGCTGATATATTCACCAAGGCACTTCCGTCTGGTGATCATCAGCGTTTCTGCACTTTGTTAGGCCTTGTGCCCACTTTTCCTCACTTGCTGTAGACTTTGCTTGTAGTGTGATCTATATATATACCTGCATGCTTGTTCTGCTAGGTAGAGATCACTGTGCTGTTGTTGTTGCATATATACCTTTGCATGTGAACTGGCCCTATGGCCCTTTGCTTGTGCTCAGTGTGTGTGGTGACGTTGTGATCCACCCTGAGCTTGCTTTGCTTCTCTTGACTGGTCTTGTGACCCCTTGTTCTCCCCCACTTTGCCTATGGGGGTGTGTCAATGTATATGCATGCTATATATGTGTAGGGTGTAGTGGGGTAGTCAATATGGGGTACAACCTCGTTTAGGGTTTCATACTTGTACCCTACTCTTCCATAGTGCATTCATTCCTGCTGCTAGATTTGACAGATGCAAGGAGTTGGCTGCTCTGTCGGAGGATTTCACCCAGCTCAAGATGCTACACAGCTTGAGTGTTAAAGGGCGTGGCGAGATTGCGTCTGAGGGTGTGAGAGACATGTATGGGTTGCTGGTTCATACTGATTTTGATCATGATCCTCTTTTAGACTTGCCTTTTTGAAATGTCAAACGGTATGAGATGGTGCACTTTCTGATCCACGCATCCAACCTCTACAGTTTTGATTCCTTTCTGCTTTATCGTATGGAGAAGATTATTTACCCTGATAGTAGTTATGAGGAGCTATTATTGTTGCTACGTAATACCATACTGGCCTCCGGTAAGGTAAGGCCAGCATTGTATGCTCATGATTCAATAAATACACCCATATCAATTTCTAGAGTTCAGTGAGAAGAGTGCGCTTACTATAAGCGCCCCTTTTTTTTCAAATTCTCATTCCCGATACACTAGGTTGAGTTCCAAAAGTTGTCTTAATGGCTGCTTTCATTGTAGGCAGGGCCATAATTTTTGCTTGCTTTGTTACTAGCAAACAAATAGTATGCTTATATCTGGTGCTTAATGTAATCTTGTACCACAGACGAATACTGAATAAACAAATAATCACTTCAACCCTCCATGCAAACTATAAGCATGGCTGCATATGGTCTGCCTGCCCCTAATACATGTCTAAAACAAGTCATGCTGCTAAATGACACCACAAATTCATGCTTAAGCTTTCGATTTCACCTTGCGAGGGAACATATGCACTCGGCTCAGCACGTCCCAGAATGATACCGGGAAGGAATGAAGGAAAAGGTGTGGGCTCCCTTCCACACTGTACACTCTGAACGTGCTTCCTCGTCCGCAGCTGCTGCTGCCACTGCCACAGCTGCCATTACCGCTGCCGCTGCTGGTGTCGCTGCCGCCACTGCTGCTACTGTTAGTGCTTCCGCCGCTACTGGTGCCATTTGAACTGCTGTCATTGCTGCTGCTGCTGCTGTTTGAGTTGCCATTGCCACCAGTGCTGCTTACACCATTCCTTTGCCTTGCACAGCAGGCACATGTGCTGCTGCTGTTGCCTCTCCGTCCATTCTCCCAAGAGGCAGCGATTGTGTCACGACTGGGGGTTGTTGCTCCTCCACTCCCATCACGCGTACTGGTGCTGCTGTTGCTAGTACCACCAGACCCACATCCACCGCTACAGTCTTCACTAGCCGCACCGCAGTTACCAGTAGTAACATCAGTAGCACCCACACAAGCACCACCAGTGCCCCTGCAACAATCACCCCCACATGATGCCCCACCCCTCCCACTCTGACCGACAGCACCTGCCCACTCAGACTGCTCCCTCCCTTCCAACCCCTCACTCTCTCTAAACCCACAACTTTTGTCGTTTTGCAAAAGGTCTCGAGCCGGCCCCCCGTCTGCCCCATGCCTTCGCCTTGTACCTTTCTCTTTTCCATCCACTTCACCGTTTCCTCCCACCGCTCCTCTTCCTTCCCTTCCCCTTCCACCCACTCTCCTTCCTCCTCCCCCCCCTCCCACAAACTCCAGCCACACCCCACCTGGAACCTGATCAGGCCGATACAGCCTCACCAGCAGCAGATACACCGGGAAGGACAGCAGGAGCGACGCAGCAGCTTGCAGGGCGGAACGGACGGCCGAGATCGCAAGACAGAGGGAGGCAAAGAGGATGTGGAAGATGGCGGTGGTGGGGAGGAGGAGGGTGAGGATGGTGAAGAGGAGCGAGCCGAGGGTGAGCTGGCCCAGAGTGCATTCTACTGAGTCTATGCGCCTATGGAGGGGGTTCCACTTGAGCCCACTGCCGGGGGCACAGGAGAGGGGAGGGGGGGAAGAGGGGGGAAAGAAGGGGGAAAGGGAGGGAGGGCGGGAAGGGGTGGGTGCGAGGAAGGAGAGGGGACGCAAGGGAGCGAGTGGTGTGTTCAGTAGAGGAGGGGAAGGAGATTGATGAGGGTGGGGAGGAGGAGGGTGAGGATGGTAAAGAGGAGGCAGACTACTTGAGACTTACTTGAAGAGGATGGTGAAGAGGAGATAAACTCACTTGAAGAGGCGCCAGAGGGCAATGACAGCGTTGAGCTGCATGCGATACACAGGCGCCAGGCACCAATGAACGAGCGCCAGCTGGAGGTTCAACAGCAGCACCAGATCCGCAATCACCCCCACCGCAGCCGACATTCCCAGGAACAGCCCTGCCGAACCAACTGTCAGGACCGCCAGGTACGGCAGCACCGAGCCGTACGCGCTGCCGAAGCTAGCCCAAGCCTGCAGCGCCTGCCAGGATAGGGCGCCAAACGCAGCGGTGAGCTCGTCGTTAAGTTTAAGTCCGATAGGCTGGGAGATTAATAGCACTATGCTGGTCCGGAGCACGTGATTGGTGAGGAAAAGGAAGAGGGAGGAGAGGGCTGATGACACGGATCGGAAGAAGAAGAGGAGGAGGAGGGAGAAGAGGAGTCCAAGGGTATGGTCCAACAGGAGAGAGGTCAGAGGGGATGCTATGCGGTGCTGCGCGATGTGGAGGTCCATGGAAGAATGCAGGGGAAGCTTGGGTTTTTTGGAAGCGTTTCGAGCAGAAATGGGGATCTTAGGAGGGAAGTGATACAGTTTTCCAGGGTCTGTTGAAAAGTCGGGGCCCTGATTGAAAGAAGTTTCAGGAAGGTCTGAGGCTGAGGATAGGGATGCTTTCAAGGATGCGCCCTTAACAGGCTGAGTGGACGGGTCAAGGGGGTCGCTACGAGTGGCAGCAGCAGGACCTGATACTTCCGCAACGTGGCCATCTGACACCATCACAGCCCCTTCAACGAACACGCCCTCGTTTGAAAAACAGGACGCTGATTGGAGGGCTGCACGGAGCGACGCGATCAGCCGCTGCCTGCGAATCATGCACTGCCACGTGGCAGAGTTGCTCTTCAGGGCAGCAGTCGCCGCCCGGCCAGTGGATGTAACCAGCGATATGGTAACCACCCCGGCTTCTTGCAACATCAGCAGCAGTGCCACGGGTGCTGCAGCAATCTGAGTCGCTACAGCCAAACTCAGCCGCCCAACGTGGCCCACAGAATCCAACGCTACGGTTTCCTCTCCCTCCTCTACAATCTCCCCCTCTAAAATCACCTCCTGCTTGGAATCCCCACCCTTGACCCCCAAAACCGCCTCCCATAACGCATCCCTCTCAATAACTGGCTCAGCAGTCGCTACACTTGCCTCTGCCCCTCCCAAACCCTCCACCGCCTTAGCCTGCTCCACACCCTCCTTCAAAATCGTTCCCAGAAGCTGCTGGTGCAGTGAATCTGGACCAATCACAACCAGCCCAGGTTCTGCCGTCCCCTGGCCCAACCCTCCCTGAGTCAGCTCCCCCTGTGAAGCCCCTAATTGGGCTGGCGCCTTTCCAGGGATGTCTGGTGTGCTCATACCCTGCAAGCTCTCTCCTGCTGTTTCGCCTGCTAAGTTGACGCCAACAGCTGGATTCAAGTCGAAAGCTGAGTTGCCGTCGATAGGCGAGCTGTCGAGCATAAGGCTGGGGGGTTTCGTTGCTGCTACAAGTTCCGTGTCTGCACCAGGGTCAGCGCACTTGCTGGGCTTGGGTGATGCTTTCCCAAGGAAGAACATGCGCTGCAGGGGAAGTGGAGGGGTGAGAGAGAAAGGGAGAGAGTGAGAGAGTAAGGGAGAGAGTGAGAGTGAGAGGAGAGGGAAACGGCGTGGCAACACGAGGAACAAGATAACCGCCAGAGCAGTGAAAATGACAGCAGGCGAACACCTGAGGGGACCACCAAAAATCACCCCCCAGCACCACTTGAATACACTAAAAACTCGCACTCTTCCCAACCACATAACCACACTCCACTCACCGCAAGAGCAGTGGAAATCACAGCAGGCGAGCCCCTGATAGCGCCTGGAATCGACCCCCCAGCAGCAGCCGCCGCGCTTGCAGCTGTAGCAGCCGTCGCTGCCGTTGCAGCAGCCGCTGCTGACGCTGCTGTCGCCGCCGTCGCAGCTGTAGCAGCAGCCGTCGCGGCTGTCGCGGCAGCAGCAGCTGTAGCCGCCGTTGCTGCAGTGGCAGCCGTGGCGGCTGTAGCAGCTGCTGCTGCACTGGCGGCAGTGGCTGCAGTGGCAGCGGTTGCAGCTGTAGCAGCAGCAGCAGCATTGGCGGCATTCGCGGCTGTAGCAGCAGCAGCATTCGCGGCTGTAGCAGCTGTAGCAGCGGCAGCAGAAGCAGTGGCAGTAGCGCCGCGCCTACAGCTATCTAGAGTGCGAGAGGTTGTCGTGCTGATGGTGCTGGTGGCAGTGGTAATAGACGTTCCTATAGAGGTGGTGGCAGATCCGAGGGTGTTTGAAGCGGTTGCAAGGGATGTAGAGGCAGTGGCGAGGGCATGAGCCATGTTAAGCTTGTGGAAGGGAACGCTCTGTGGCAGCAGGCAGGGGAAGAGAACAAGAGAATACTTGATGCGGTTGAATTGAGTCAGACTAAGGGCGGTTGAAAAAAAACAGACAATCCTTAATGCGGTTGAATCCTTGTGAGTCACTCACGTATCCGCGAGTCTTGGCTCTCTGCGTCCTCGTGGGTTCGATGTGCCCCGAGGTGGCCCAGAACGACCGCAGCCACACGCCCACTCGCCCCACCTCGCTCGGCGAAGTGGTAACCGCATCGTTCTCTGTATTCGCTGCGTTCGCGGCCGGCTTCCCTGATCCCTTGCCACCCGAACCTTCCTCGTCTAGCCCTTCCAACCCATCTGAACCGTCCTCTACTCCTCCGCGCACCACGGTCATCCACCTGCGACAATCCGCCACGTAGAAATGGCCGGGGAAGGTCGGCTGGTCGTAGAAGACAACCTGAAAAGGGGTGTGGAACGGAATGGGGAGAGGGAAGGAACGGGAGAGGAACGCATCGTTGATTTACAAGGGAAGCTAGACTGGGGGAGAAAGGTATGGGTGGTTTGCTCCAAGAAAGGATGGTCGGAAAGTCTTCTGAGATGCCTCAACGCGCGTCCACCTGTAACAGTCCGCCACGTAGAAATGGCCGGAAAGTCCATTGTAAAACGAAGTCAAGGGCACGACGCGCACCTGAGAGGGCCACGGCGCGCACCTGAGCTGACACTGCGCGCACTTGAGCGGAGCACTGCGCGCACCTGAGCGGAAACCGGATGACCGGCAGGTGCCATGTCGGCATGCTCCCCTGCAGCCGCTCCTGATACCGGTTTCGATCCCCGATCCGACTGAACGGCTTCACTGACCAACTCTGCAGCTGCGCCGGTAGGTTTCTTGGAAGCGACGCCTGGAATCTCGCTGCCGCTGCACAGAAAAAGAGAAAAAACATGCAGCGTTAGCGATATGTGTTTTAGGAGAGACATCTTGACGGTAGGGTAAATGCAGGCCTTGAAGCGGAGAGGTGTATAAGGAAGATGAGAGGGCTGCATACCCCAGAAAGAAAGAGAATAGGGATACGAAAGACGGCTTCTAGAAAACTGGCAAGGCCAGGATGAAGCACGGTTAGGCTCCCCTACTAGAATAACGACAGACATACATTGTACCACCGGGTTGCTTCGAAGATTCGTCGTCCGAGCTGTTTCCGGAACCATCGACGTTCATACGCATTCCAATCAGCTCCACATTTCGCCACCAGTCTAGTATCGCAGCTCCTTTACCGCGTACAGACGGAGCTGATCCCGATTCTTGAGATTCCCCGGGACCAGACGAGCCTGTCGGCGACGCTGGCGATTGTCGCTGCTGCTGCCATCTTCGTCGCCACAACAAGGTAAACGGCACCTTAGACGAAAAACCCGATCTGTTACCCTGGGTACTATCTTGACTCGGATCTTGCACGCAATCATTTTTGTCGTTACTCAACGACTCGAAGTCCTCCGAACGATCGGAATCAGCAGAGAAACTCCACGACGAGCGAGGCGACGAGCAGCTTGACGCTTTAGGTGAGCTTGCTCCGGAGGAAAACCGGCTGAAGAAAGATGAGAAGGAGAGATTGGAATGTTCTGGAAGAACGGAGCATTCGGCGACGACGCAGGCTCGGTCAGGCTCCTCGAACGAATTAGCCTGATAGCAATCAGTAGGAGAAAAATCGTGTTTCTGACAGTTTTCATGGCCGTTTGTAGGCAAAGCAGCGTTTGAAGGAGCGCTAGAGCTGTCATTTGGAATAGTTATAGAAGCCTTGCAGCTATCTTGGGAAATGGGGAATGACTCCTTGTGACCGTTGCACGGGTCGATATCTTTTTTAGCTTCGTCGGTGCGACCCGAGCATGGGGGAGTCGCAGCGGCGACGATGACATTGACTTCGCGAGTTTCGCCAACGTCGGCTGATTCAATCCATCCTAGTAATCGCTGACGCTCGCCTTCCAATGGCACCTGGACTGGCCACCAGACCGTAACCCTAACGCGCTCCGTGCTCTTCTTCTTATCACTCTTAAAATGATTATCGGTCTTAACCTGACCTGGCAGTACCTGCTCAGCCATTCCGAATGAACACGCCACGTCAGCAGCAGAGCCACGCGAAGAAAACACCACACTAATGAAAGAATAAGAGTTTAGGAAAAGGCAAAGAGTTTAGGAATAAGTGGTCTCGGCCTAAGATGGTGCTTTAGTTACAATCTGGTTCATAAGGCCCAATGACTACATGTCCCTTCAGGGGTCTGCTGCATGTTGAAAAACATCCATCCCATTCCACTCCTCCCAAGCATACTGAAACGTCCCAGCAACCTGGAGAGGAACAGTGCACAAACAGAAGCAGGAGCATGAAGAAAGCTGACCAGAAACAGAACAGGAGCGCATGGTTGCTCACCAGGAGGGTGATGGAGAGAAGGGAGGAGCAGGCAGCCATTCCTGATAAAACACGAGGGTATGGAGCGGTTATGAAGTTTTCTTGCGAGTTGCTAGAGGGTTTCGTCGTGACACGCCTAAAATCCCGAGAACACTGGCGCTATAACGAGACTCGATATAGGCACAATGATTCCCATTGTTTCGCGGCTGTCGTGGTTGGAGGGGTGATGTGCTGGTTTGGAGATGCTTTTGACGGAAGACGGATTCCGTCGCCGATGCCGTCAAACAAATTGTAACTCACTCGCAAGATATCGCTGCAGCGAGATATTCTGTCGCTTTTGCAACTACGAGATCGTTACTCTGTGGGCTTTTGTCGCCAACGCGGGACAAGCCTGACAATCAGACTCTGGCTTGGCGGGATTCAACGTTGCCGCCAGGTTTCACAAATCTCGCACGTTCAGATGGCGGGGAGGCAGCAAAGCACACACGTCATCCTGGTGGATGACTCACTTCCTAGCAAGTTCGTCTCGTCACACACCCATTTGACGGCACATCAAACTTGGGCCCAGTTCGGCAGGCATAAGGACGCGGAAAAGGGCTCGATCGGGGGGAGATCGATCCTGTCACCGCACTAAAACCTTGCGTTTTGCATACGGAAAGTACACAACCGTTTACAACCGCGCCAAAAAATGATCCTGAGGCGATCTATTCTCTACCTTTACCGCGTCCTAAAGGCCCTGTTCTGTTGGCGCGCAGGCCATTCGCAGCTGCCGCACAGGTACTGCAGACAGCGTTTTCCTCGAAAGGAAGAGAGGGCCTGCAGCCTCGTCGAAGGGTTTACTAATCTACAAAATTACGAACTTTTTTCTCTCGTGTGCCCGAAAAAATGTTGTTACACACTGCCCTGGAACTCTTCCAAAGTAAAAAAATTGCGAACTGATGCACTGGATGTGGCAGTCTTACTGGTTAGCCGTTGGATTGTTTTTGGGGTGAGTATTCCACAAAAAAAATACCCCAAAATGGGCGTTTAAATTTGCCCGTTATTTGTTGTGCGCCTCTTCATTCCCCCCTCGACGAGCGCATAGGGCTCGCACAGGCCATGCGGGAAAATTGCCTGTGAAACCAAGCTCGTGGAATTTTCTCAGCGCACAGAGAGCCATGCGTTCTTGCGCACACATGAATAATACGCGCACAACTCCCGCACTAGACGTTCGGGAGACAATAACGATTTGGGAGGCTCGACATGGGCTTTAAGCCTTGTTATGCGCATTTCGAGAATGTTCAAAGTTAGGGCTGAGCACCCCTTATGCGCCAACAGAACAGGGCAAAAAAAATCGGCCTCGGGGGATGGGCTACAGTGAACCGACCACCACGGAACCTTATTTGATAAGCTCGTGAAAGGTTATCAAGGCTCGATATAAGCGGATCTACACCGAACAAGACAATAACGGAATGCCAGCCGAACATCCCTTTCTTCGTTGGCGTTTTCAAACCCATTTTTTTTCATCGAACCATTTTCTCTTGCAAAGTGCCCATTTTTCTGATCCGCCGCACCATGCGGCCTCGAGGTCCCGCACCATGCGGGGTATCAGTGATCCGGAGCAATCAAAAGTGACTGGTCAAGTATGCCAGCCAATCACATGATAACTCGATCCATCCGGGTAAGTGCCTACTAGCTTCTGCGAATATAAATTTTGTTTGATGCCATCAATCTAAACCCAATTAATGCCAACCGAACACTCAACCCCGTGTTTTCGAAGGTGCGCTTCAACTACAGTCCGATTTCGAAGTTGTTTCTCGAAATGCCCAGGCGCCATTTTTTGGGGGCCCGTTAAAAATGCCCATAATGCCATCCGAACTGGGCCTTGCGCCCAGTTCGGCATGCATAAAAAAAAAGGGCTCGGGGGATGGGCTACAGTGAAACAACCACCCTGGAACCTTCCTTAACAAGCGCGTAAAATGTTATCAAGGCTTGATATAAGCGGATCTACGTCGAACCAGACCATAACGGAATTGTTAACGGGAGTGGACTGTTGGCTCCGCCCTCGCTTGGGTAACGCCGACGACTTGGTCGGATGTACGGGAGAAGCAGCCGACAGTTCACAGTGGGAGAGCTGCTCGACAGGCTTCGTCGAGCTGCAGGGGACCGCTGTGGTGTTGCTGCCGACCAAAGAGCTCGACAGCTGCAACTGACTGGTCTGGGCTGTCAAACATTATATATATGTTATTGCTGTGTAGGCTATAGTGGGTTAGCCTTTAGGGGGTACACAACTCTAGGGTTTCATACTTGTACTCCAATGTTTCATAGTTCAACCACTTCTTGTTTCTGACATGGGCGACGGGTGGGTCGTCGACCAAGAGTGTGAGGATCTAGGATCGAGCTCAGAAAAGAGAGTTTGAATTGAATGATTCACCTGGGTACAACACGATGCTATATATAGTCTCGACACAAGGCCAGTTACCCAGGTGTTACGCGAATGTTCTGAGGGTCGCGAAGCGTCCCGAACAGAACCTTCCCAAACTCAGTAGAAAGCAATTCGGTGGAAACCGAATAGGCTTGAGTTCGGTGCACGTAACCTGGTTCGGTGCTATAACTATAATAAAATATAGGAATGCACCTAACGTAGGAAATCAAGCATATCTATGCATGATAAATAAAACCCAAGCTAGTAATAGCATAAGAAAGTCTAGGCAAGCTAGCAAAGCCAGCATAAGTCGTCGTACTCTCACACGTCATTGTGCGTGCTGCCGAGTGATACGACGCATTGACTCGAGGTCAACCCGAAACACGATGCTTCACGCCGAACCGTACATTCGGCATAGAGCGATCGACACCCCCCACGTTCGCCGAACCGATGGACATCGACAAATACGACGCGAAGCAGCAGCCGACAAAATGCGAATTTTGCGGCGCAGCAGGGCATCAGATTTTGTCGTGCTACAAAATGAAAAAGGCACGTGCGGCAATGCAGGGCGGTAACAGTGGAGCACCCCCGAAGTAAAAAAACGGGAATCGCCAGTAGCCGCAGAACGACCTGGCGATCGCGTAAAGATCCGAAAAGCAGGAAAAGGCGACGACGTGGCGACTTCGGAGCGGGTGAAAAAAGGAGAAAATGATGGCACGAATATAAGACGTCACGACCGGCCGGCATCAGGGGAAATCACCGAGGCGAATGGAGGCTCTGCGAAAAAAGACTCTGCACCGACCGGGAAACTCCAGCCGACCACCCACGAAAGTAAGAATTCGTTAAAAGTATCCTATAAAGATACTCTAACGAAAAATATTGCTTCTCGTGGTTTTCAAGCCTTTGAGAAATTCAGGGGAGATTTAGAGGCCAAGAAAAGGCCTTTAGAGATTATTCAGGTACCTGAGAAGTTGGGCAAAGTACTACGGAGCGTAGAAAAGGGTCGTGCGTTCCGTGGAGTTAATATTCTCTCCCCGCAGCACAGTGTTAAGGCTCCCCGTTGCGCACAGGTGAAGCCTACACAGCTGCCAAGGCTTAGAGGAAAATTCCAGGCTCCTGAGAAGTTGTACAAGCCTCGGAAAAATCCTCCTACCCCCTAGGGGAAGTTGGAAGAGAAA